GGTTTGCACTCTCTGAGTGCTTCTAGTTATAAGTACATTTACTTTGTTACTGTAGACTATGGTAAGTAATTTTTTGAGGATTTGTAATTTTACTAAGTATTTTTTTAAAACTGTCACTTTTATTTCATTACATTTCAAACCTAAAAATACTTTTACTTCTTTACTTAAAAATGTAACACCTAAATACTAGTTACAAAATTAAATATGTCTGAACTCATCATGAAAGGAGTTGTTTATGCGCTCTAAAAAAATTAAGTGTTGCTCAACCAAGTCATATCAACTAGTTCCGCTAGACCTAGTAGAATAAAAATGGCAATGTACACATGTACTTATCTTGATTTAGTGGTGCCAGTTTGGTTAAGCAAATTCAACAGTTTATTTCTTAGAGAGTGTGTAAAAGTACTTTTGCTTTCCAGATTTTTGTGAACAGTTTAATACTTTAACTGAAGTACCTTTCTCAGTGAAATTTTGAGGTATTTTTACTTTTACTTAGTTATTTTTTCAAGTAGTTTATAGACCTCTGCGAATTACTCAGTTAGTGGGTAGTTACTTTCACATCTTGCTTTTAGCTTTTTGCTTTTAGCTAAACTCCAACTTTTAGCTGGCTTTTTGTTATTTTTAGCTACCATGTGACCAAACTGTACAGCTATTTTTAGCTTTTTACCTGAGCTCTTGCTATCTTTAGCCAGCATTTTGTTATTTTTGGCTAACATACCATAATTTTAGGTTTTGCTTCACATTAAGCATCTGTCAGGGGTTAGAGGCCATGAATTCAGCACTTAGGCCCATTACTGATTTTACTGACATTTTACCTGCAGAAAAATGTGGATGTTTCTTGTCTCGCCCAAGGCTTCACCATCGGAAAGATTACGCTCTCAAAATGGAGGCAGATTATTCAAAAAGGACAAGTTGGTTCTAAAGCTGGTACAGTTGGATACAAAATCTAAAAAGTAAAAAACTCTGCACCTGCTGCAGACTGCAGCTTTGCTTGACCCTCACTACAAAGGAGACCATGTAACAACAGCCCAGCTCGACTTTATCTGAAGTAGACTGCAGGCTGAAATGGTGGAGTTTTGGAAAAGTTCCTCTAACTCGACAGTGCATGCTCAGGTGAAAGATGAGGAAGAAACTGTACAACAGTCACCAAAGGAGAAGCCTCAGTTTTTGGGCACACTTTTGGGGAAAGTGAGGCCTCCAACTTGGAGCACACCAGTGGAGAGGGCGCATACAGAAATGAAAATTACCCCAGCGAGGAGGTCACAAACAAGCACACCAAAGAAACGTGTTTTTAGCACCACTGGTAATATTGTTAACCACCTGCACACACTGCTAAAACCCAAGGTAAACATGCTTGTTTTCTTGGCAAAGAAAGCTACATCTAAAAAAATAACATTTTCCCTTTTCTTCTTGTTCTGATTCTGTACTGAGTCGTTACAGTTTCTGGATTATTCATTCATTTATTTATATTGTATGCCAAATCATTGAAAGACTTAAAACAGCAGCAGAGACTGTTTTTATGGAAGTGCACATTCCCTGGAGGAGATAATTTTTATGGTTCAGATTTGGTTAATTTTATATTTGTCATTTCACACCTAACCGATTGTAAGGCAGATGAACAGCCTGTAAATATGATTATACTGAAGTTAAAAAAGCCAGTCTCTGTTTTCCTCTAAACCATTGTGGTGGAAATATCCAAACTTAATGTGAATAACAGCCAACTGCAATATTCAACTTGTAAGAAAAAAGAACTGGATTAAGATTATTAACTTGATTTCAAACCAAGAATGGAAAAACATGTTTTATGCTTTATTTGTGCTTTACTTTTTATTTTTCTTCTGTTTTTTTAAACTTATTTTGCTCATATCATGTAACTTTTTATGCCATGTAAAAACAAACAAACAAACAAAATAACTAATAAAAAAGTAAATCAAAGAAATAATCAATATGAATCTGCTGATACCTTGGGTATAAAATTTGTTTGGTTTGTACCAAAGTTATTAACATTTAAATTTTCTGTGCCCCCGACTTTGATAGTTAGGCAAATGAAAGGGGTGTGGTCAAAAAAAGGATCCCTGGTGAGTCTTTTCTGCTTTAGTTTTCTAGTGTTTCAGTGTTCCTCTGTGTATCTCTGCCTTGCTCCAGTCCCGCCCATGCTCACCTGTTTCCTCTTGTGTCTCCTCCCATTAGTTTCTCTGTAATCCGTGTTCTGTCCTCTGTGCCGTGCCCGTTCATTATGCTGTCAACCCCAGCCAGTGTGGTGCCATGTTCTTCGTGCCTGTTCCTTCTGAGATTTTGTCAGTTTTTGCTGCCATGTCAGCCCTCTTTTGTTTATTTAAAAAAAATTGGTTGCCCTTTTGAATTTTGCCTGCACCCTGGATTTTTCCTGCCTGCACCTCACACCTGGTGGCAGTGAGACCTACTTTTTTATGTTAACATGCTGAGTGGACCTAAGGTTACATAAAAATAGTTTGCTTATATGATGATATAAATAAAATGTTGACAAAAAAGGCCAAAATACAAATACAATATTTTGATGACAGATTTACTTTTTTCATTTGTTGCACATCAAATAAGATGTTTGTTGTTCGTTCTGTTCTTATTTAAAATAAACTTTCTCTAAAAACAGACCATCTGTTTTGATTATAGATTATTTTTAACAGTTTCATTGCCTGAGTGGTTCAATTTAAGATGTTTCATTTTAACTGAAGCCTGTTTTGATCAAGAAGTAGAATATGACACCTTAGTGGACCTGCCATCTCCCATGCAGGCCTCCCTGTGTCCCAGTACAAAAGTTCAAATACAGTATATCAAAGGTTCTGACATTTCAAACTAACACCAGTGACCCAAACTTAGCAAACACAGACATCCACTTGACAAACTGAAGAGCCAAGCAGGGTTTCTACTAACAGCAGAAGCTTTTATACATTTTCTTTATAAATTAGCCTTAAAAGTAACAAAGAACAACAAAGAAACAATCTATCAAACCCAAATTTACTTTCTTTTTGTGCTAAGTGTTTTGGTGTTTTACAGTCTAAACTTTAGCTCACACAATCCTAGGGTCTTGACTGATGTGTGTTTCAAATGTTTCTAGTAGGAGGATGTTTTAAAGTTGTTAGAATGGTGCCAGTGTAAAGTAAATACCTTATATTGTGCAGTTTTGTGTGGGACTTCCTGATCTGAAGCCTCTGAGAAACAGCAATGCAGATTATTTTGTTTGTTTGTTTGTTTTGTTTTTATTTGTTTTAAATGTATTGCAAATAAAAGATCAGAATATTGGGTGGACGTTTAACATAAATCCATTTTATTGACAGATTTTTAGTTAAATTTTAATCTGGATTAAAACCCCTCCCCATTTGTCCAGTGAGCACCGGCACTGAGGGTCCACTTGTTGAGACCCTGCTCAGTGGCTGGATTAAAAAGTAGTTGTTTTTATAAAAATGTATTACCCATGTATTGACCATAACCTTCCTATTGAAAAGCTGAGTAAATAATGAATTAGAGGATTAACACTTTGGTGGGTGCCATGTTTTTGGAAACAGTTTGTTTAGATAAAAAATGTAAGATCTGAATCATGTAATGTTAGATGTGGAGTTCCTCAGGGTTCTATGCTTGGACCAAAGCTGTTCATTTTATATGTGAATGATTTGGTCAATGTGTCAAAGTACATGAATGTCTTCATACATTTACGTCATGTGTATGCCACATTTAGTGATGGCGAAAACAAGAGTTTTTTAATGTCAGTCAATATAAGTAGCAAAACTGCCACCCCGCCACTTTTTGTGAAGTCTGCTCAAAGCTTGCTAATGCTCGCTGAGCGGTGTTACAAGGAAAAGTGTCCCCGTGAAACACTTAACTGGCGGGCACAACATAATGTTCCAAACCTGTTTAGGCTATTTAAACCGATATGACAGTATTCTGCGAAAATTTGTATAATTATAAAAATAAAAACCAGTTTTTAGTATGAATAATATACTAAATAGATAAATGTTTCCTATAGTCTTTTGTTTTATGTATCTAAATCACAAGAAAAATGTTTTCTGTTTTTTACCATTATTTAACCAGACAAATCCCATTGAGATCACAGATCTCTTTTTCAAGGGCGGCCTGGGCCTGAAGGCAACCTATTGTACATGTTTTTGTGTTGTGTTAGAAACCAGAGCAACTGGAGAAAACCCACGCAAGCACAAGGACAACATGCAAACTCTGCACAGAAAGACCCCACGACTAAACCAGGGGTCGAACCCAGAACCTTCTAGCTGTGAGACGTGGGTGCAAACCACTGAGTGTTGTGCTGTATAAAGTGTTTTTTTGTACAAAATAAATAGAATTCTATAAGTTTTCTATGCAAGAATTCTGTATATAAAAATAAATATTTATTTTACAGAAAATTCTGTATAAACAGGGAATTTAGAAAAGTTCGATAAACTAAAAATAAAATTTTAAATAGTTAATGAATAGTTGATTTTTTTATTTAACTGTGTTTTTTAAATGTTCTGTTTTTCAGGCTTTCTTAAGCCTAAAATGTGTTGATTCACTTTCCAGGATGAAGGCTTTTTGGTTTTTCAGAGATGATTTTGTTCATTTCAGAACTGAAAGATGTTTCTGGAAAGTTAACCATCTTAAAATCAGGAGTTAAGATGATTTCTGGGGTATAAACTGGTCCTGTTCTGGTTATGAACGCCGGGCGATTTTTTGAATCAAATTCGTCCCTCTCTCTCAGTTCCTCAGACAGATGTTTGTTTATTGTTGTCTTGTTTTCCAGATGAGTTTTCAGTTGTCCCAGTTCTGGCTGTATAATTTTCTCAGACTTGGAACAACTGTTTTGAAGAGTGGAGATCTTTTCACCCTTTTTTTTTTTTGATAGATAGAAGTTTAGCAATGAAAGGCCAAAGTCAGCAAATTACTATGAAGACATCTTGACTCAGCTCAGCTAACCACAAAAACAGCTGAGTCGTGGAAACAATGAGATTTTTTTCTAATCTATTTTTGTATTAGTAAAACAGCTGCATATATGTACGGACCATTTCTGTCTGATTACACAGAAAGAAGCCAGAATTTTAACATTTAAAGTTGACAGCGATGCTCAAAAATGTGTTTGTTCTTTGTCAGCAGTAGCACAAAGTTAGTTTTTGGAAAATGTGGACTACAAAAAGTCTTATTCTAGATGTCTCCACAAATTTGTTCTATTAAAAGTACTAACTGCAAACAAAAAAAAAAAAAACACTATTTTTCAGCTGCTGGAAAAAGAAACTAGTGGTTTTCCGGAAATATTGACATGGGTCAACAAAGCCCACGGTCTCAGACATGCCTGAAACAGGAGGGGTGTGCAGTAAGAATCTATATTAGATACCCAAACCACCTCAGCTGACTCTTTTTGATGTACAGAACCAGTGGCTCTACTTCAAGCTCCTCACCTTGTCTCCAAGGCTGAGCCTGGCAACCCTACAGAGATATTATTTCAGCTGCTTTGATCCAGGACCTGGATTTCTTGGTTATGATTCAAACCTCATGACCTCATAGGCATAGGTAAGGGTTAGAACTTAGATGGACCAGGAAATCCAGAGCTTTGCCTTTCAGCTTTGCTCCTTCACCACAAGACTGAAGAAATGCCCTCATTACTGTGAAAACAGACATAAGACCCCGAAGTTCCCAAGTCTGACACCATCTTTCCCTTAAATTTCCCTTGATATCCTTCCTATCCGCAAACAGGACCAGAAACAAGAAGCGATGCAGATGAAGTCCAAACTGAACTGGGAAGGAGTTCAACTTTGTATGGAGAATGCAATTTCAGTTGTTGTTTGGTTCTACCAGGAACAGATGCCCTGATCCACTAAACACACAGACTGAACAAGATAGGACTCAAAGCCAACCGTTGCTGATATCCCGTCACAGATGGAACGGATGGAAATACAGCTTTTCTAAGTTCCCACCTCAGCGATGGGGGACAAAAACAACTGTAGACCAATGATGACTTGGTGATCACAGGCATACACACTATTCGGAAGCATTAAGTAAACATTTGAACAGCATATCATTATGGCTCAATGCCATGAAAGGTGGATGATCACACCAAAACTCTTTGTTAGCAAAATATCTCATGAACCATTGAACAGATTTTAACCAAAATCTCAGTTATTGAATATACATCTACCCATTAACCTTTGAAGTCAACCCAACTCAAAATGGTCACCAAAGCTAATAAACTTATCAAACACAATTAGAGGCTCAGCATTCTTTGAGCAGATACATATCACCTGCATGTACTGAGAAATGACTCAAGTTGGAACCATTTTGTTCAAACCTTGATGCAATCTATGTAGCACTCAACTCCCTGCTGCTACATCAAATTAGCTGTGGTGGACATCTTGATTTGAATACATAAGAAAAGTTAACAGATTGTTAATACATCCAATGATTGGTCAATTTTGGTCTTGACCAAGCTTTTCTTTTTTTGTTTTTACAGAAAGAAATACTCAATTCACTCAGCGATGTGTAAAATAAAATCTTTTCTGTTTCAATCATTCATGGATACACTTGTTGAGACACAAGCAACAGTACAACAAATAAAAACCAGGCCAACTCTTGCAGAGAACTCTGCCCTTTGGAAGAAAAGAAAAGGAAACAAACATCACCTTCAACAGTGGAGAAAATCCAAGTGCATGCAGGCAAAACTTGTGACCTTCTGAAATCCAGATATTCCAAAGTACTTATAATGATCATACAGTAGCAAAATATTACAAAGAAAAATAAAAAGATTAACATGAAGAGTATTTTTAAGACATGAGTACAGAAACAACGTAACCAAACTGCACAGTTTCAGAAAGACTAGTAACAAACAGAGCCCTCTTAAAACAAGAGTCTTTAAGAGGTTTAATGAGAGCAACAAAGTTTCCAATTTCAGCAAATGTGGTTCAGGTAATCTGGAGGGATGTGGGTGAAGTGACAATCAGAACATCAGTCTGAGTCAAGAGTTCTCATGGTGCAGCATCTCCAGTATCAGTCTGTTTAGAGTACCCCGTCAACAGGTTTTCATACGGATGGCGTCCGGTGGAACATTTACTGGTAGAACCTATGAGGCTGCAGCTCCTGGATCACGACTCTGTGAGTAGGCTAATTTTAAGTGTAAAAAAATCCACCTCCCATGTCTTTGATTTCTTCTGTTTCTCACCGATCGTTAAAGGCCAAGCCTGTAAGGATACAAACAGGAGAAAATAAAAAAAATAATTACTTCAGAGCTCTTCAACAGCTTCACGAAATACCTAAAACATTCATTGCCATGTTCATGAGGTTCAAGCTCCGTGTGGAAACGTACTTAGTTGCCATTAACTTGTGTTGACCGTGTTCCTCCGTGGTCGATTGCTGCTCTCTCTCTACTGCGGTTCTCTCGTTCTTCATCCTCCTCGTCCCGCTCCTCATTCCCACTGTGGTTCTTACAGTACAGTCTGAGAAAACAAAAACAAACTGTAAACACTGAGCGCAGTGAAGAGCAAACATATTAGGGCTGTCCTGAGACGGTCACAGATATCGATCAAGACTTTATTTACTTAATGCTCTCAGAGTAGCTGAACACACTCATCTCCTGAGCGCTGATGTTGACCTACAGTTTATGGTTTAGTCCAGCCACACAGTAAAACGGCTGCGTTGAAATGTGATGCAATGGTCCCACGTGTCTTTAGTATGAAAATGTTTTAAACTAGAAAAATGAGAGCCGTTTACTAGCTGCAACATTTGCAATTAGGCCTGTCACGATAACAAATTTTGCTGGGCGATTAATTGTCTCAAAAATTATTGTGATAAGCGATAATATTGCCTGGTGACCATTTTACAACTAATAATTTTAAAAGCTTAATATGTAAGTGCAATAAATCAATAAACTTTAATTTTTAAAGAATGTTTAATAAAGTGGACTCTCACTCTGTAACAAAAAATGCACTTGAATTAAAAAAAAGAACAACAAAATGTAAATTTGCCTGGTTGGAACCACCCGGCCCTGATGTGCCTCTGTCTCGTGAAACAAGGTAGTAGCAGTCAAAACGGTCGACATGTGTGAAAGTAAACTGGTGCTGCGGATCAATAATGTGATGCACACCTGGTCCAGCTGGTTATGGGATTAAACAGCAAACAGATTTATTATCAAGGGAATTCTATTGACGATGCACAGAAACCTTGGATTTAGTTTAAAAAATGAGTTAACAGCAAAGAGAATCACTAAATTGAATTAAATTATCATGTTCCTCAAAACAATATGAAGCTGAAGATCTTCAAACATTTAATGTGTTGCGCTTCATGTCAACACTGAGTTCTGCTCCACGTCTTGTTTGCATCTGCACAGCTAATTTCTATAAGCTCATGTCTGTGTGGGACATGGCTGGCTCCATCTGGAGTCAGAGGGAGCATAGGTCTGTGCTGCTATTTCACAGAAATGTTGAATGAAAGGGGTCTGTGTTGCAAACTGCTTACAGTGTGGTTTGGCTCAGATTTGATGAATCAGACTGTGTTCAGTTTTTAGCTGTGCAGACTTTCAAAAATAACTATGCATCAAAATAAAGTTGGGTATGTTTTCAAACAGATCACATGCCGGGATGAAGGTTGGTGAAAAGCACAGCAGATAAAACATTTGTTCTTGAATTTGTGTCAAATCAAACACAAATACAAGCACACTGTGTGAGAAATCTCCCTTCATTTTGATCTTCGTCAACTGAAACAAACTTTGTCAAAACAGTCGACTGAACATCAGCTGATCTGAAACAACTGGTCATTTGCCACAAACTCCATTAAGCTTTTCTAAAAAACAGCTTTCACAGAAATAAGTCTGACTTCTTACTGCGAAACATCAACAGAGACAAAATCTATATTTCTGGGAAAAAGCTCAGCTGTCATAAAATGGATTTAAAAAGTTTTATAAACACGTTATTTTTAATTAGAAACTCACTTGTAGATGCCGCGGGCCATGTTTTCTATGTACTTGGCTTTGTCCTGTAGACCACAATGATAATGGTACGTCTTCACACATGCCTTAATTTCACAGCCGATTGTGGCACCCAGCTGACTGCAGAGTGTGCATTTCTGGAAAAAAGAACAAGTAACTAAACTAAATGAAAACAACAACAACAACAACAAAAACAACTTAAAGCCTGCTTTTGTAGTAATCTTCCCACCATTCTTTTGCCCCTCTTGATTTCCTGGATGACTGTTTTCACGTCAAAGTTTCCGAACTCAGCCCGTGATGTTGTGGTTAGCTGGACTGTCCCCGATGAGAATAGCTGAGGAGAGGAGAGGATTGAGGCAAGGTGGTACTTTAAATGTGTAATAACCCCCACAGGCTACACAAACTTACCATGCACTTGTAGTGTGCAGCCACTTTCTTGGAGTTATCTGTATGCAGTACGCCTCTTGTTCCGTTTTCTTCCTCACCAGCGTGGCAAAAGCCGCAGCGCTGGCCGCCGTCTCCTACGCCGGCTCGAAGAGGTGACCTGTCCCGCTGAAACACAGCGCAACTTTATCAAAATGAGCCAAGTTTAGATACTGTACATCTATTGTGCACATGAGCTGTTTCAGTCATTTACTTGTGTGGCGTTCCATTTGTGCCATCAGCTTGCACGCGCAGTAACACTGATTTGAGCAGATATCAATATGAACAAACAATAATTTGAACCGTGTGCATTAGGGTTGGGCATAATCGTATCATGTGTTTTTCTGACAATTAATTGCACACGATACGATTATGCCCAACCCTAATGCACACGGTTCAAATTGTTTGTTCATATTGATATCTGCTCAAATCAGTTACTGCGCGCGCAAGCCGATGGCACAAGTGTAACGACATAGACTTAAACCCTTCTTTTTCCAGGATGAAATGATACAATATGCAACTTCAATGATTTTTAAACATGTAAAAAGACTCAAAGGTGGAAACTTAAAGAGCCACACGACTACTTTTACAAGAGCCCAAACCTATGAGGTACATATAATATCTGGTGAGACGAAAATGGCCCAAACATCAAATCTCCATCTTCTACTGCTTATCTGTAGTCAGGTTGAAGAGGCAACAGAGTCTCAGCGCCTGGGAGACTCCAAGGCGTTCCCAAGAGATACATACAAGATACATAATCTCTCCAGTGAGTCCTAGTGTGCCCTGAGGCCTCTTAAAAGTGGGCGGGTCCAACATCCTGATCAGAGGCTCAAACCAACTTATTCCTTTCCATGTGACGGAGCATTTGCCAAACATCATACGCAAAGATGAAAAAAAGGCAACTGATGACATCATCAGTCAGGAACTGATCACTAACTGCTGAGACTGCTTATGGGAACTTGCCCCATCAGAGTTCAGACCCAGAACAAACTGCAACCAAACCCCTCTGGAGAAATTAAAATTGGGCCTGAATTACTCTAACGCACCCTGGATGGGTGCACCATTGTATCCCTGTGTCCACAAACAGCCCCACCTATGGCCATAAGTCCTTCTGCGCACAGCTGGGTTCCCCTGTGTGAGTCAGGACTGTGAATCCTGGGATCCAGAAATGCGGCTGGATTGGAGATAAGATGATGGCCAGAAAGTTATGCAGAGACTAAAAGGGAATTGATTCTTAAAGTCTTTGTGTATTTAAAATCTTATTCTATTTAAAATATAATTTAAAAAAGTACAAAATGGTATCCTCGTGTATCCTTGAATGTTTATTCATATGAAGTAATGAAATCTGAGTTCATCTTCTTTGTTAGAGAAAAAAGGAGTCTAAGTTTATGTTTTTATGAATAATCATAAACAGGAGTTATAATCTTACATGCAGAATTCAGGGTTTTATTTATTGATTTATAGAACTGGATTGGATGCCTCACAAGGGACATTTTAAAGTGCCTGAGACATCTATTTTTTGTGAAAAATGTGATTGCACTTTTGGAAAGATAACATGGATAACATATTGCAAAAGCAATTTCACACCACTGAGATGAACAGTTGTTGAGATATTTGCATGTGAAGTAACAGGAAGTGATGTCAAAGGGGAATGTCTGCATGTAAACAGAGCTTTGCAACAACAGCTACAACACAGGCAGCAGGGAATTTTCTGATGTTTATTTAGGTCATTTTAATCTCTAAGAGAGATGAAGAAGAGTCAAGTTCGAGTTCAAATAATATTGTTTTAATAAAAAAAGACCAGAGCATTGCCTTTCTTAAAGAGTTCCCCTTTGATGTCACTTCCTATTTCACTTTAGCTTCATTCTTTTGCTACATTCAAAAGAAAAAGTGCCAGTTATGTGACAAAATGGGTTAAAACATGTGTTTTAGGCCAATTTTCCTAAATATGAAGATATTTTCTTTGACTTTTTGTATTTGAAGGATAGACATGTCACAGGCACTTTAATGCATTGAGCTCGGCTAGATGCAGTGTAAACAGTGTTTTGCTATAAATTGCAGAAATGACAAAAATAAACTCTGTATAAGAAAATATAATTCCTATATATAAAAGGCAAAAGGTGATTAAGTTTCACAGGTAAATAATACATCATGCACGCATAAAAAAATTAATGATTTGAAGTATAAAACTTAACTGTGACCTTCAAAAAGCTTCCAAGTTAATCATTTAAACTATTCTGACATCAGCAGAGTGTCACCTGTGGCAGATGACAAACATCCTTCACCTCAGCAGAAGCTGAACAATCACCCAGCTGCAAATACAAGTCATGTGAGATGTCAGCCGCAATGCATTAGGCAGGACTGAGAATGCCTTAGAAACTGTAGTGGATCAACTACTGTGTAGATATTCTTCACATAATAATTGGAGATTTTCCAGTCAGGGTTCATCAGATTGCTCATTTATACACATCTATTCTATAGAAACAAAAGCTGCTTCACAAAATAAGTTATCTTTAAAGGGCCAATAAATTTATTAAATGAAATAATAAACTATGTAACTTTTTGTGAGAGGAAGAATAAGTTTTCATGCTGAACATGGATGGCTATAAAATGTTTTGTACAAATAAATTTAAATATTAGAAGATGATTCTGATTTTTATTTATTCGTTTTTTGTATTTCACCGCTTTCAAAACAGCCCTGATATAAAAAATAATGTAAAAAACAACATAAAATTGTCATGCAATTGAAAAACCAAACTTAAAAAGACTATTTGCACATACAACAGTATTTTACTGCTGGTAACTGCATTGAACCCTGAAAGACAAGTTCACACAGTCTGTGCTGTCACCTACTGGTTAGCTAACCAGGTTAGCCACTGTCCCAGATACTGGTGGCTTGCTGAATGATCTACTGTCAGACACGTTTACAAATATAGAATGTACAGTGTCTCGTACTTGTTCAGCTACTGAAGTATTTAATTTTTTAATTGGGACGTGTACAATTAAATAGAGGTGACAATTAAGGCAACTGACATGAAGATTCAAGGAAAGTGAAATCGATTTAAATCGATCATAAAGCTTGAGATCGATTTTTCCCCATGGGTGTTGTGTGCGAGGAAGCTGCGTGTTTCCATGTTGTGTGTCACTCCTGGCTTGCCGTAGTTTACATCCAGCTGATGTTCAGTGCTAACGTTAGCTCCCGACAACAAGTTGTCTGGGGCAAAACAAAAGAAAAAAAGGAATCACTAACATTACAGCTGATTCTCTGCTGAACTTAAAGAGTAACTTACCACAAAATTGACTTATTTTAGCTGATAAACTGTCTAGAATGTGTCTAAAATGTTATATAGTACTGTTTCTGTGCTAATTTTGATGTTTTTGTGCGTATTTGTTCAAATCTGTAATATTTGGTCTAAAAACGTCTTTTTGCTGCTCATATGGGTAGAGCAGTGGTACTGCAGGTTAATTTGCATATTGGTTAACGGCTCTCCACGGTGACGTGTCTTGTTCACGGTTTCGTCACAGCGGCTGTGTTCTGGTATAAAAGCCTCTCTCTAAGACACGCCCCTGCAGCAGTCAGAGGGTGGAACAGTTAGCAAGCTTAGCATGATCGTCTGTTGACCTTCAGCCTCGGGTGGGGAGAACCGACTGCTGCCCCCCACCACACACACACACACACACACACACACACACACACAC